GGTGGGGAGAAGACAGAGCCTGGGCTAAGCGGAAGCAGCACCCAGGGCCTGGAAGGAAGGGGGTCTCACATTGCAGGCGTTGGTCTTCGAGTTGGGGATGCCAGCACACAGCATGGATTTCCCCAGCAGGTCCTTGTAAACCTTCTTGCAGTCCTGGTAGGAGATGAGCCTAACATTCGTGCACATGAGCTCCGATGGGAAATTCACTGTTGAGGGGAGAGTACAGGTCAGTCTGAGGGGTGGGCCTGGAGAGCCCTGGGTGCTAACGGGGAGAAGATGTGGGCCCTGGGTCGTGAACTAAGAAGGGGCTGTGGGGTTCGATACTATGGTCATGAAAAGGGGCGTACCTCCTGGTCTCCTGAATCTGGGGACAAGGGGTCTGGGACCTAAACTCCTGGGTCCCAGGGAGGAGGGGGGCGCCTGCCAGGGCTCCCAGGCCACTGAGCAGCCTCACCCTCAGGGCTGGTGGTGGTGCCCCAGCCAGAAACGATACATGGGGTCCCAGGCGGTTCGCAGCGGGTGGGCAGGTTGACTTTCTTCACAGCCGAGGTCAGCTTGGCTGGCTCGCTGAGCTTCACGAGCATGATGTCATTGACGTGAGTCTGCGTGGAGTAGTCGGGGTGAACGAAAGACTTTGTGGCACTGATCTTCTGGCCTCTCCTACTGTTCAGCCGAAAACTGCCCATGTACACGTTGTAGTTACTGGAAGAAGAGACACATTCAGAGGGAGACACTGTCCATTGAGAGAGGGGGACAGAGATCCAGAGAGAGGGGGACAAGGGTGCACAGATAAGGGGGCAGGAACCCAGACGGAGAGCTGGAGACCCGGTGGCTCCCCGGCCACGCACCTCATCTGGCAGTGGGCGGCTGTGAGCACCCACTGCTCGTTGACCAGCACGCCTCCGCAGTGCAGCTGACTGCCTTTGAGCAGGGCCACCTGCCAGGGGTGGGAGGCTCTTGGGCAGGGGACTCCATCAATAATTCTATCCCCAGCATCCTTTCCTGGGTAGAGACATGGAGAGAAACATGGATAGCAAACCTCCAGGCAAAGCTGAGGAATCACTGGGGGATTTGCAGAGACAGACAGAGGCAGAAACGGAGCACAGTGCAGACAGCTGCAGTTGGAGATGGAGAGGAATGGAGGGAACCTGCTCAGGAACCCAGGACAGCGTCTGGCCTGGAGGCGACCCCAGCATCTGATGGGAGAGACACTGAGGGCAGGAAGCAGCCTGGAGGGCACCCAGACCCCGGGAGTCAGGGGGAGCAGGAAGAGAGGGGCCACCGCCGAGGATCTTGTCTCCATGGGAGGCAGCTGCTGCAGGGGAGGGGTCCTGACTCAGGGACTCCTTGGAGAGAGGGGCCCTGGGGAGGGAGGGTGGGGACTGTGAGGCCAGGGGCAGGGGCAGGCCTCCCAGGCCAGCCTCACCTGCTTGTCTAGCAGATCCCAGGGCTAAGGACAGCACTAGGATCAGCAGGGGCTGGAGAAGTGGACCTGCCATGAGTCCTCTCTGAGCCTGTGTGGCTGCCACGCAGGGGAAGGGCCTCTTCTGCTGGGGCTGGAAAGACAAAGAGCTCAGGAAGCAGGAGTCCTGGTCCCCAGCCCCTTCTCCTCCCTCAGACCCAGGAGCCCCAGTCTGCACCCACCTCCTCCCTCAGACCCAGGAGCCCTGTCCCTCAGCCTCCTTCTACCTTAGACTCAAAAATCTTGCTCTCCTGACACATCTTCCCCCCAACCCAGGTTTTAGGCCCCCAGGTTCCCTTCCTCTGAGCACCTAGGAATCTGGTCCCCCATCCCTCCCCATTCATAAGCCTGTATCCCCAGTTCCTTTTCTCTAAGAGACCCTAAATTCCACCTCCAGCTTCTCATCTCTCAGAACCAGGACTCCAGGCCCCTCTATTCCCCTCCCCTAGGAGTGGGAGTCAGCTGTCCAGCCAGCCTCACCTCCTGCCCCCCAAAGTCCCCTTCTCACCTGCGGTGGGTCTGATCTGAGCTGGGTTCCAGACTAGGCTGGGACTGGCCTGTCCGGCCCTGTGCAGGGCGGCTCTCTTATAACACACCCGCCCCCGCGCCCTGCCAGGCGTCCTTGGTGCAGGTGGAGCCAGCTCTGAGACGCCCCCTCCCTGAATTTGTGGTTATCTGGAACCCCTGAGGCGGCTAAGGCAACAGGCCTGCACTGGGTCTCCACCCTCCCCCCAGGCTGTGTGGGGGCGGTACCCAGCCTGTTTTCCACCCCTGCCCCCCCCCC